TGGGGAGAGATACACTTTTTTGAAAGTGTAGCAGAATAGTAACTAAATTCTCAGTAAATGCACACTCACTGTCCTCGTGCTAAAGTTACACAAAAACTTGCAAGTGTATGATCTGCTATTCACACACATTCACATTCAGCCAACTATATGAATTGTACCATTTCACAAAGGAATAGTTCACCCAAATCACAAGAACACCGCGGGCAGTGGAATGGGAAAAAAACAAATGCAAGGTTATAAGATGTGAATTGAACTTCTTCAAGTGCCACGTTTTTAGAATGTCGAATTTCATAGAAAAAAAATAATAATGGAAAAGCAGCACAGTGGAATGTAATAACCTGTTAAGAATTACTACTGCATGTTTCATATTTCATGTTTGCATGATGGTGACAGGCTGAAAGGTTCTGTTATTTTCTTTGTTTTTACAAAACATTTACTGTTAATAATAGTCTACTGATGTTATACTTTCAGTCTTTTTGAACTTGAATTGTCTTGACTTTTTGAGCTGACCTCTAAAACGGAATGTCTTACTGAATGCTAAGGAATATTTAGCATTTTTCTTTTTAAGTAATTAGAATAGAAATTATTATATTATTTCTATATTATAAATAGAAATTCTTTCTGAACTTAAAGGATATGTTTAAGACAAGTTTGTACAATATTTGCATTCATATTTCATGTTTCTTTTCTGCCAGAATATTTAAGTGAATTTGTTTTACGTTTACACCATATTGACCACTTCATGTGTGGTGCACTTGGAATATAACTTTCTTTAACCAGATGGTTTTGCATATTTTTAATAAAGAGAATGTTACATTAATTGTGCTGTTGTTATGTTTTTAAGTTGACTAGTTAGATGTAAAAAAAAAAAAAAAACAGAAATCTTGAATCGGTCAAGTTTTCTGAAAAAAAAAATCACGATTTTATTTTTTGCCTCATCTCCCAGCACTACCTCAGTACATCTTCAGCAATTTTTTGTGACCTATTCCTTTAAATGTTGTGATGCATGAAATTTAAAAAACTGAAATATTAAAACTAGGGCTGGGACAATAAATCGATGCATCGCGAATCGAGAAATGATTCTGCGTCGATTCTGAGATTTTCCGAAGGCATCGCGATTGTGCTTTAGAAATAGCCGTATTCTGCTTGCTTCCAGTTCCTTACACGCGCACCATTTGAACCTAAAATAATCATTCATAAAGTTCGAAAAGGTTGAACCGAATTACAAGGATGTTCACAGTGGGCTGTGTTTACATTAATCTCACAACATAAAAGCCGATGTGCAAGCACATTTATCCACTTATATTTCTGAGAAGAATGCACAAGCGCTCTTCTTCATGAGCATTTGAGTGTGCGGTTAAAACCTAGCCTAGAGCGCCATCTGCTGTTAAAAACTAAGCTCAGAATCGATTCGCGAAACGCAAATGCATCGATTTATTGTCCCAGCCCTAATTAAAACAATAACAAAAAAAGTTCAACAAATGTTTTTGAGGGCTGAAATCACTGACTGAAATAATAACACTCAATTAGCACTTCTTTGATGATGCATTTTGACTGTGTCGGTGTTTCTTGTACACAATGTGGATAAGCAACAGGTAAATATGTCAGCAGGGTGGCCACACTTCACCATGACTAAAAATGACGATGGAGTATGTACAATTTGTTTGGCTGAAATATCAAGAGGCAGCTTGTTTCCAAAGAACTTCACTCTTTCACTCTGACTGGTTTAATTAATCACCTGAGAACAAGACACCATGAAAAAAAAAAAAGAATTCAATTACCCAATGACCCAAATTGAATTGACGAAACCTCCTTTTTGGTTAGATAATAGCTAAATAACAACTTTTATTTTGGTTTCAGTGTTTCAGTAAAAAAAATATATATATATTTTCGGTCCATCACTACTTAAAATGTCCAAGTTTGTCCAATTTTAAAACATGCTCTCCTAATTTCTTATCTCTCTGCAAACCACTGTCAATCTTTATCTCTCAGTCTATCACACTGGTTCTCTAGCTCTCCATTCCCCCACCCCCTGCTCCTCTAAGGCTGAAGGGACAAGCACTAGCCACTGTCCTGGGGCAGAGGCAGATGGAGTGCTGTCATTAGTGTATTGTCTGTGCTGCTGCCATGCCTGATAACAGACCTGCGGTGAGCAGAGCGGCAGGTGCACATACACACACACACACACACACACAACTCTCTGCTTAGCCATCTGCCACACATGCAAATGCACGCAAACACCTCTAGAAATATGATTCCAGAGAAAAAAAGAGTGAGTGAAATAGTACTAAATGTCTCAAAACAGCTTCTTGGATACTTGGACAAGATAGTTCTCCATTCTTTCTAATTTTTACATATATTGTATACCATGGCGTTAACTGATTAATACATCTTTGTTTATAACACCACAGGAGCAGTAAGGGACATGAAAAGATGTGTTAGGTTACAAATCCATACAGAGACATTCTACATAGAATCATAAATGTTAACAAATTATTATGAAACAAAACACTTTTGGCACTTTTTTCTTCTGGTATTTTTTATTATTCTTATTTTTAAAGGTACAGTTTTAAAATGTCAACATCCTATTATCTGGCAAAGTTATACTAAAAGGCCAACTATAAATGCTAATTCATAACTAGGATGTCTGATATACTTTATATATTTTTTTGTATATGGGGAGCAACAGGTAATACATTGACCATGTTTAAATGCACATAATTTTCTGGTTTTGTCTTTATTCTGAAATAAACTGAATAAACTAGCACCATGCAGGTTTATTTCCTGCTGTTCTCTTGTGAAAATAATGCCTAGCTTTTACCATTTATTTTTTCTGCACAGTAATGCGCTTGTAAACAGGGAAACATAAACCCATTCGGCAACACAGACAACCACCCAGGGCGCCATTTCTTTGGGGGTGCCAACTTACCAAACCAATTTCACCGCAAGCCAATTTCACTTCATAGCAAAATTCTCCTGTGCTCAAATAAAGTTTTACTGATAATCCCACCAATAGAGAATCAAAATTCAAAAAGTAGAGTAACTGTAAGGAATTCAACCAGGATGCCAACTGGGGCATGACTTGCACTGCTTGTAAATGTGATTTCTCTTTCTGCTATGATATAACAAATTTTAATTTAAAAAAAAAAAAAAAAGTCACCTGAGCTGTCTGATATTTTTCCCACATAAGAAACCCATACATAAATGCATCAGAGTTAGAATACAAAAGTGAACGCGTCATTATGTTTGACAGCCTCTGGCATTCTTTGATTTAAACACATCAAAACCAGTTCTTGTCAACGCATTGTATGTGAAATTGAAGCCTGGCAGTTAGTGGAGAGAGTGAACAATACTAAAGCTCAAGGTGAAACCAAAACAAGTGAGTATTCGCCTCTCCCAGCAACCTTTACAGGCATGTTCAGGCATTCCAAGCGTGAAACATCATCGTTACCTGACAACGAACCACAAACAACCAACTGGCTTGTTTTTCCTCCGGATGGAATCACATGGCTCAAGCTTCCATCAAGGGTCTCCCTCAGCTAACCCTTGGACATGGTTGCACATGTTCATTTCAGAGACAAAATGCAAACAAGCTCTTACCCCCACCTCCTCCTGCCCTCTCATATTCTCAAGGCTCAACACTCCAGCCAAGAAAGAGTTAAACTGCTGTGCACTATCCCTCCTCTGCCTGATGTTTACACTGCAGGCTGCCTGCAATACCAGCAATGAACAGTCTTTTTAACCAGTGGGGATAATTTTGGGCCACAACACTGCTTACAACTGGAGCATTATGGAAATATGGGTGAACCATATGATGTGAAGTACGTGGCTCAGAACTTGGCATGTTCTGTCTTCTGTGTGCTATGCAAAAACAGTGTGCATGTGAAAAAGCCCCAGGCACTGCACTTTAAGAGCAGCATATTGTTCCAGCTTGATACAGCAATTTGATCTCGCACATGCCCAAATATGATTCAAGTAGGCAAATTAGCACATGCACTCCTGTAAGAAATATATGTCAGGTGTGGGGAAGATGTGATATGGGAATCATTCTTAACCTTATATTAGTGTCCCTGTTAATGGGAAATTTAATAGCATTTTGCTTAAAGATGTTAGTAAACAGGGCATAGAAAATTTCTGAATATAATGTGAAATGATAAAAGATCTGCCTTCAGCAAAAAAAAAAAAAAAAAGTAAACGGAGATTAGCTTCTTGGAAAAGGATCGACCAGGCTGTCTCAGAATGAAAACACTGTGAGCCAAATGAACCTCAAAACAACATTTCTCTCTCCTCTGCATGCTCCATTCACTGAGAACTATTTAATTGTACACGAGCCTACAAGGCATTAAAACGGTGTTTAATCAGCACTTCAAGTTAAGCCATTCTTAGAAAAGAAAAAGTTTCAAATATTTTTTTCTATAGGTCTATCATAATGCGTGCGGTCACTTCAGTCTAAAAAACCCTGAGTCGATCAACTTTCTGGTAAATAAACAGGCGCGCACTCCTCTATCCTGCAGCGTCATAGTGCCTGCGCAGTTGGGATGTTTACCGCGCGCGGCCACTCAGATAGTCACGTTTCTCATGCTTCAAATTTCTCTGGAATTCCTCTGAATGAAAAACACCGTATCAACACCATAAACGCCCCATATACTGACATAAACAGCCAGAGGTGCAAACCTCAATAAATGTTTTTTTTTCTTTATTACATAATACTCCCGTTCCTTCCTAATGTTTTGTTTAATTACCTTTTGTATAATTTCTTTATAATTTCGATACAATTGTGTCCTAAATATCCTATAATATTCACATTTACTGTTAAAATAAACACAAGCAACCATGTGCTACCTACAGACAACTGACAATTTTAATACAGTATTAAATACATTTGATAAATATTTATATATTTATATGTATTTAATATACAACTTATACTTATAATATATTTATTTTTAAGGTACACATTGATTGGATGTGCCTACGTAGAAGTAGGCTACTGCAATATTTAAGTAGCATTTAATTTGCAATTATACTGTAATAAAAGTGACTTTTTACCACACTGTCCAACACAATTACATCAACCTCACATGCTGCAATTACCAGTTTATCTCATTTTATCATCTGAACTCACCTTGTACAGTGGTTGCAGTCTCTTTGAATCCAGACAAACATATGGAGTTGCATGTAATCCATTTATTCCTGCTTTGCAGCAACCACCAGTCTTGAAGCCCACAAGATCACAATTGCCTATCTCTTGTTTCTCCATGAGGTTTAAGGCAATGTAGTTAAGTCCATTCTGATAACCAGCTGAAGTCTCTCTGCACATGGGAGACCCATACTCCTCATCAGAACCTTCACTGCTTCGGACAGAGACATTCTCTACTGAGGCAGAGCTGTGGCGCTTAACATTGTGTGAAAAGTTAGGAAAGACAGGTGCAACTGTGGTGGTGGATGCAAAGGTCTCAGAGCTATGCCGTCTCCGGCCCTGAAGGTCTGCTCGGATCACCTTCGCTCCTCCGTTTGGGTCTATAGAGGAGGCAGCCAACAAGAAAACACCAATTCCAGTTGAATTCACCAATTCCCCCTGGTCACTCAGGTTAAGCCTTTGAACCCTGCTAGTGGGGCTGACTGAAGCACTCTCATCATTCTCAGTCAGGAATGGAGGTGAGATCTGACCACTGTTGAAACTCATTTCAGTATAGCTATCTTTACCTGTACCAGATGGGCATGGTGAGTTCCTCTGTTCATTGAGCAAAAATGCCCTCCCATCAGGTGGGTATGGGCATTCAGCCAGCTCTGGCATTCCATCCAGGGGACTGCTGAGTGCTTCCCTCAGTTTAGGAGAGTGTGAATTCTGGTTGAAATTCATGTAATCTGAGAGGGGGGATCCCTGTCTGAGGTTGGACAATGAGCCTTGACTTTCCACAGAAACAATAGAGGGAGAAAAGTACTGTGTAGCAGCAGCAAAGTCTATGTTGATGTATTCACCAGGGCTTTTAGGCTCACAAAGAAGAGGATGCTCTGTCATGCTGGGAAGCATCCTCAGAGTGTCTAGAGATAACCTATTGGGCCTGTTGACTCTTGCTCTGTGTGATATGACATCAGGGCGACGGAGAGGGGGCAGGGTAGAAACCCTGTTTGCCTCTTCTGTTGGATTTTGGCTCTGAGAGCTCATCAAAACATACTGGTCATCCTCTGCCTGTTTAGGTGCCTGTTGCTTGTTGAAGCGAATACTTAGAGATGGGGAGGGCCGTTGTGTTGGTTCACACTGACCCAGCAAATAATCTGGTGGTGTGGGCGAGACATATGAGTCAACAGGCGACATATTCATGTATTCTCCCCTCACCGCTTTCCCATCAGAGCTCTCAAGTGAAAATTTGGATCCCGACCACATCTTCATGTACCCGCTGTCTTCTAGAGATCCACTGCTGGGTGAGTTAGTAATGCAGCCACTGCCTGTGGGCTGGGGATGTAACCTCGGGTTAATTATCTGCTTGGGTGCTGAAACACTCATGGGACTCATGGGCATGTAGTGATCATTTTTGGCACACTGAGGTGCCATGCCTGGCGTCATAGGCATGTAGCCATCATCATCCACATTACTGTTAGATCCAATATCAATGTCTCCAAAATCTTCTGGGTGTGAGACATTAGGAGAGGCAGAATTTGTTCTCCGTCCAGAGTGACTGTTCGCAGCCCTCATCAACATGTATTCATCAAGTGACGCTGAAGATAGCTGGGAGTGTGCTACCTGTTGCCGCGGGGTTGTCAGAGAATATGTCCTCTTCCTGTATGTCTCCACATCAAGCATTTCTCTGCTACTTGGCCACATCTTGTTCTGGGATGGCCTATCCATCACCATATAACCATGGAGCTCACTGGCCTCTCGTGAGGGTGGTGTACTGGAGAGAGAAGAAGAGGTCTCACTCCTGTTTGCTAGGTTGTACCTCACATCCCCTGGGCTAGAACTGTAATCATCACATGAGAGGAAGCCAGTATCGTTGGGTGACCCAGAAACAGAACCACTGCAGCTGGAGGGTCTGTGTACTGTGGACGAGATGGATCCATTCATACTGATTGAGGACAAACTTACAGCAGATGGGGGCGAGTGGGACATTGTCATGGACATGGACCTGCTGTGATGAAGCAGTGATGGTTCTGATGTCCGGCAGCCCACAGAGACTGTGTTAAATCTGTTCATGTGGTTCCAGCCAACAGTTGTCGGGCTCCCATTCTCAGATATTGACATGGAGACAGGCCTGGTCATGGTACATTCCCCTTCACTTGCTGTCCGTATTCGGCAAGAAGAAAGTTTGGGGACAGGAGATGTTGCTCCTGTACTGTCCGTCCTTGACCTCCTTACCAACCCTGTCTGACTAGGGGGTAGAATGTTTAGGTTCCGCCGAGTGGGTACAGATATGGGATTTGATCCTGATGACTGGCTTTTGCTGCGTGGTCTGAACTCTGACAGCTCTTTCATCGCTTTCATGGCTTCTAGAATGGTCTCGTGTATATTTTGTGCCACCACAGAATCATCTGCTTGCATCCACAGCTCTCCAGGTCCAGTAGAAGCAGATCTTCCCACCTCAATGAAGAAAAAGCTATCAGAGTGCCCACATCTGCGTATATTCATCAACTGCAGTGTCACAGATGCCACCTCCGAGTTAAGTTTCACAAAGCTAATTGTCCGACTTGATAAGCACAGTCTGTAAACTCCAGTGATATTTTTGCTCTGCCCAAGTCCTTTTGATTTAAGATTTACTTGCCATACCTCTTTATACGCAGCATTCAGTGGTGTAATCATACCGTAATGTCCCTCCTCGAAGCCTACCAGAGATGATGCCGAGCTAGAAACGGAGCTGTCACACACTTTTCCCTTACTTAATAAATCGGTTAAGTCTGCGTGCCAGCTCTCCTGCTCTTGCTCATTCTCTGCAGCAACAGCAAAATACTCGTGCTTGGTATATAGTGCTATTAAATATCTGTGCTTCGCGTCAGCGCGCTTGTTTATGCTCAGACAAGAGTCAATGAATATGACTCTTTTTGCAGCGGACCTGTTTTTCCATTTCTTTTCATTCTCATAGTACTCCAGCCGCGCAGGGAGTCCGTCACTCTGATCTTTCAAAACAAAATAGCGCCGATGTCCGTGCTTTTGCTTCTTGAGGTATCCACATTTTCTGATTTTTCTGTTTGAATGAATGTTGTTGTCATTTGATAACGCGTGCCCCCCTTTAAGAGGCGGACTTGCCATACTTGCGTTTAACAATTTATTTAATCAGTTTAAAGTACTTGTTATCCATCCGTAGAAAAAGAGGTGAACATCTTAAATATCCGAGAATTTCCGCGCTCATTCACAATGCGATGTTAGTTCACCGCAAAACTGAATGACTGAGCTTAAAAAACAAACAACACGTGACGTTATACACAGCCCATCTTGGATCAGTGAAAGAAAGAAAAAGTCACAAGGCGGTGCGATATTTTAGAGGCGTGCCTGCTAAGCCAATGAATGGAGTTTCTCATAGGATTCATTGGCCAGGAAAAAGATTGACGGTACTTTGACAAATCCGTGACATATAGTATAGGCAAATCCCCCTTTACACAAGCTGTTCTCTCCACCTCCCAAAACAAACAGCGCTGTGTGGATGACACATTACTGTATGTAGCCTACGCACTTCAGTGCTGCAGAGACTTTGTGTCTTGTTAGCTGTAAAATGTAAACTTAGACCATCGACATGTTCTGGAACTTGAATAAACCTACAGTGTACTCCAAACACAGTCGAGTCCTTTTTAAACGAGCGACGACGTCAAACACAGGTGAAGAGCCCTACGTGTAGCTATTTCAGAATTATAATTTAATCAGACCCAATGTTAATTTTACACTGCGTCAGAATGTAAAACTACGCATTTGTGGGAGTGAGAAAACGCATATGTCAGTTATTAAGATCACAGTCATGCTGTCTATTATAACTTGTAAACAAGCGTAGTGCGTGTGCTGCGCGTGTTACATAACGCATGATGGTCTATTTTTACGCACTCAGATGTCCCTGTCTAGCAACAGTACCTGCGAACCAGCATTAGCGTACTAACATCAAGAACGCATTTCCATCTAGTTTTTTTTTTTTTAATATACTGTATGTCTACTAAGCATCTCGCGTCCGCCATGCTACATATATGGATTTTCACTATTGTTTAAAACCAT